CCCTCCCGTCGCGGCGCGCACACGCAGCTCCTCCTGCGCTCCGTTCCGTCTCCCCCTTGGCATTAAAAAAACACCCGCTCAGAACCGTGAACCTGAATTTCTGAGGAGTTCTTTTCCCCGTGGCAAATGCGCTTTGGAAACAAGGCATTGCGTATAAAGATGTAGCTTTAACGCTGCCAAAAAAACACTGTAAAATAACTCAATTAAGTTTTTAATGATACAGTCAGCGAAGGTGTTCTTACTGAACGGTGAACGTGTTTTGCGTAATACTTATATTTTATGTTTCGTTTCAGGAATGCAGTAAAAAACAGAAAAACGACGATACGCAAAGTACATCTGTTGATGCATTGGGCTCAAATGATGATTTTGAAGAGGTAATGTTCCTTCTAAATGTTGTAATATACTCTTATTTTTATTCTTTTTTTGTTGTGTACCCCAAAGGAGGTTGTAAGTGGAGAACTTTGAAGTACTAAATATAACGCTAATCAACAAGCAGTTGGAAGCAATTACGAGCACTTCTAGACATAGAATCATTTTAGTTGGGAAACACCTTTAATATCATCAAGTCCAACCATTAACCTAGCACCGCCAAGTCCACCACTAAACCGTGTCCCTAAGTGCCACATCTACACATCTTTTAAACACTGCCAGGGACGGGGACTCAACCGCTTCCCTCAGCAGCCTGTTCCAATGCTTGACAACCCTTTCAGTGAAGAAATTTTTCCTAATATCCAATCTAATCAAGACTCTTTTTTAAAGATTAAATAAACCCCTACTGTGCAAACACAAAACAGAAATTGAAGTTCTAAAAAATTTTTTTTGAGTGTCAAAAACCTTACATCAAGTCTTCAAAACAGAGAGAGCTTCTAAGGAGAAAAGAGGGGGGTTGACAGTACAAGTGCACAAAATGTCTTATTTTTTATATCAGACAAACTTACAGATCACATACTGTTCTTCAGCAGACAGCTGTTTCCCTGGGAAAGGCTTATTAATTGAGGGATTTTTGGTTTGGGGTTGTTTGTTTTTTTTTTTTTTTGCAAGTAGTCTGGTTATGTTGTGCTTCTATCCAAGTATTCCTTCTTCCCACAGATGAGCTGCCAACCATGTTGTAGCCAGAAACTCTTGATCTTACGTAATTTTCAATGTAATTGTAGGACTGCATTCTTTTTGTTTTATCTCATGGTAAAAAGCCAAAGCCATCTTGCTGTTAGAGAGGCGTCTGGCTATTAAAGAGGTTTAATAGTTCAAGTAAAAGTTTTCTCAGTTGCCTGGTAAGTTGATGGGAACTGTCAGCTCTGAAATGCAATGCAAATCAAGTTGTTAGAATATGGACTACAGAGCTAAATTTAGATCTATGTTTATGCTTAAGCATTTTGCAGTTTCACAGTAATAGGAGCAAAACTATGAAGAAGGATGGAACAAATTATTTTGATTACTTCTAAATAATCTTGGATGTTATGCAAGTGTCATGGATTGTCTTGTTTTAAACAAACAGTGAGACCATGTTTGCTCTTCCAGGTCATTGCGGAGGTCTTGAAAATTGGTAGAACATAATTAAATACTTGTTTACTTTTTTTCCCCCAGCAGAAAAATGAGTTTCATACATTGGCTAATGCTAAAATATTCCTTAGCGACTGCCTAGCTTGTGACAATTGTATGACATCAGAAGAAGGAGCCAGAGTTTTCCAACAGAATCAGAAGGAGCTCTTTCGTATTCTTAACCTTAATAAGGTAAAGTGACACAAACAATAACACTGTTTTCTGTGAGGAGAAGGAAATTACGGAATGACTAAGCAGCTTGGTTTCCCATGGCAGGTAGTGTGAAGGTTTGTCATGATATACTTTGTCCAAAGAGGAAGTGAAAACTTTAGGCAAGATGAACATTGAAATGCTTAAAATAATTTTGCACTAGAGATGTAAGATCACAGCACTTGACCTAAATGCTAGAGGAGAGTTACTGCACCTGCAGAAGTAAAATTGTTTGAAAAACTTACCTACCTCATTACTGTAATAACAAATTAATCTGTGGTTCAGTGTTTAGAAATGCTTATGCCTTCGTTACTAGGACTGTTCTGGGTGTTTGTGGTGCCAATGTGTCCACATAATACAAAGTTATGAAGGCAAATTTTTGAAAGTATAATTGGTTTTAACATGTATTTGAGCTGACTATATTTGGAACAGATTTTTTTTTGTCCAAATTCTTAGCAAAACTTATAAAAGCATTCTTTTGCTGTCTTATTTTCTGCCGAGATCTGGATTTCTTGGAAGCTAGTTGCTATGTATGTTGCTCAGATCTTTAGATCTTGATGCTGAATGAGTTATTTTAGTTCTGCTCCAGACTTCTGTGTCCTTGGTTTGCAAAAGCTACCAGAATTGATGCTTTTTCTTAATCTATACGTAAGTGTCATAAGTAAGGGGATTCATTACGTAGTGATTCAGTTTTCTTAGAACTAGTTTAACTCTCCATAGAATATGATGTTGTTGTACATGAGAAAAAGAGAAGGGGGAAAAAAAAAAAAACCCACTTTTGGGTCACATGGGTCCTATTAAGAGAGCCTGAAGTCTACAACAGGGAGGCAGACAGGTACCGTGATCAGAACTTCAGGGGTCCAGAAGAGCCCAGTGAGCAAGTGAGATGCATTCCAGGCAGTCACAAGCTCTAGTTTAAGGGTCATTATACAGCATTTAGGGTGTCTAAGTACAAACTATGGTCTCTAACGTTTTTAGGGTGAGACTTGTCTGTGGCATAGTCCTGGTTTGTCTTCCACTGGTATGGAAGAGGTCCCAACTAAAACACAAAATTCATCTTCAAATAAATGTCACGGTCATCAGAGCTTTACAGTTGCACACCACCATAGGTGTTTTCAAAGGGTTCTTCAGTGCCTACAACCACTGATTTGTTGAGGGTCCTATCTTGCCAGTTTCCTTCAACAACTTCAGTGATAGAGGTACAGGAGCCTTAACAAAGGATCAGATCTGTAATTTGCTGGGTTGGATTTGGAACTTGGAATGCCCATGCTCCTGTAAATATTACTTTATTTATTAATGTTTAAACATACAGCTTTTTTCATATTTGCTAGAATGTCATAGGTGCTGACTGTCTCTTAACTTTCCTTACGTCATTGGGAGACCAACCACAGAATTGTCCTAGGAGGGATGGATTTCCCCAAGTTACATAAAAAGAACATCTACAGATAATTAGAAGGAACACCGACGGGATCAGAAGAAGGTCCTGTCCTGCCCTCAGGAAACTTGGTAGTTGTTTCATAGGGGTTTTAATGATGTGGCCCACTGAAGCATAGGACACTAAGGAATAACTCCAGGAGTGGAAAAGGGAGGGAAAGTAGGGATCCTTACCCTGTTGTAATTATGTACCTTGTTTCCTTTGTTTTTGTTTTGTTTACCAGAAATGTGATACCTCAAAACACAAAGTGTTGGCAGTGTCTATATGCCCTCAGTCATTGCCTTATTTTGCTGCTAAATTCAATCTCTCTGTGAATGATGCAGCCAAGAGACTCTGTGGTTTCCTCAAAGGTCTTGGTAAGTTTGGGTTTGTTATGATGGTGGAGCAGAAAGAGGAGATTATTTTAGGTTTTTGCTTCCTCAGCAGAGTTGTTTGTTATGCAGTCATAAAGTGCCATTGCACAATCTAGTTCAGAGTTTGAAATGTGCATTCTGTGATATTAATGACCGTGTACCAGTATGACATACACCAGTTTCAGAAATGGGTTGGAGGCATTACCCTGTTGATAGTAAAGGTCACAGAACAGAAGGACATTGTAGAGCTGTCTTTGAAACCTTCAATGCCAAGAAATCAGGGAGGATTTGGTAATGAGCTTCAGTAAAATTTCCCCTTATTTTGTAACTTGAGGGAGGAGGGGATTCTTATCCTAAATGCCTTCTAGTCCTTTTGACACATTTTATATCTAGAAGATTCTCAGTTCCCTTTTTTTCTGTAATTTGAAATTACATGCAAAAACTCTCATATCTGCTTATTTTATGTTAAAGCTGTATTTCCTTTGCTCTTTATACTACATATATATAAAGTTTTATTTAAAAAACAGAAACCACTTTGCCTATACGTTTGGGGTTTTTTATGTACTTGAGGAAGGAAGGAAAAGGACAGTAATAAACCTATAAACTATTTCCTCCTAATATATATATGTATTAATTTTTCATAGTTTTTATGCATCTCTACCCATTATATTTTCTTCATCTAAAAGGAATGCTAAGTTGTGGTGGGCCCCAGTTTTCTTAGAATGTGTTAATTATCTGTGCCTCGCTTGTAGGGTCATGCTCAATATTACGTAGGCATATAGGGAGTATGTTGCTAAATAAGCAGACAGAAGGTCTCTGCTGTGTTGGTGATATGCTCGTGTACCTTTGCAGACAACTTCAGCAATGGAAGATACGCCTCTTAGCTGGATGCATTTTTTTGTGGATAATGATATGCAACTTCAGCATGTGTTGGAAAGAATGCTCCTTTTCAAGAGTCACTGCATATAGCCTAGGAGTTGCAAAATCTCATTCAATTAAACGAAAAGGAAATACGTGCTGAATGGCAAGCTTCTCATAAGAAAGCAGACAACTATTTGAAGTGTTGCTAGTCAGCATTAGCAAGTTGGTGTTCCTTTTAAATTAATGACATAGAAGATAGCTTTCCAATGTATGGCTTTTATTTTTGACTCTACTATTTGTAAAAATCTGGGGAGGGGAAAGAATATACCTGTTGATATTCCAAGATTTTCTGTAGACCTGGAACTTGAGAAGAAGCCCGCGAGGTGGAAAACATTCTAGTAATTCCCTTTTCCTTACTGCTTTCTTTCATAGGGGTGCATTATGTATTTGACACCACTATAGCTGCTGATTTCAGTATCCTGGAGAGCCAGAGGGAATTTGTGCAGCGGTACCAACGGAGGAACCAGGACGAGCATGCCTTACCGATGTTTGCCTCTGCTTGCCCTGGTGAGAACTGATTTCTCCAACCTTCCTGCGATTCAGCCTAGTCTCAGTGGAACTACCAAGGAGCTAAGGAAAGGGTGGCTTCATTTGGGAGCCTTACATAACTTACGGCATTTTGGCTTTGCTTTTGAGAGATACCAAATACCGCACACAGTTGTCACCAGTAGCGCTGACCATCATCCTTAGTGCATTTCAGTGCATTGCTAGATGGGCCTGTTTTTCATGGGCTGTTGGGACAGCAGAGTTTGTTTCCATCAGGCATCATCAGCTTTGTCATATGTAAGCGAGGTGCCACAGCCGTAAATGTGAACCATGCAGACAAAGAATGGGTATGATCGTGCTGGATAAGGCACGTGCTAATGCAGTGTAGGGCCTTACACATCTTAGAGTTGTTTTCTGTTGGAGCTCTGTAAAATGTGAAGAGTGTAAATTCTATTGTTGCTCTTAAAAAAACCCAAACAAACCAAACAAAAAAAAAACCCCAAAACCAAACCAAACCAACCAGCCTTGCTGTAGTCCACAGCCTCTGATAATACAAAAAGCCTGAACTAGTGATTTCCTGTGCTAGTGGTATTTATTAGTCAGTTGTATTTCCCATCGCTTCTATAAAAGGCAAGTATTACATATGAATCTGGATAATGAAACTGAGGTACAGAAGGACTGAGGTTTTTAGTGCTGTGTGTAAGACCTTATGAGAAATTAATCAGAACTGGAATTGAGGAGTTAGTGGCTGCTGCTTGTGTGTCCAGACCACAAAGTTTAATTCTTTCTGAAAAGAATCTTTAAGGAACTTTGCTAACTGATAGAATTAAACCACAACCTCTATTATCTTAAGCAAAGTTTTGAACTTGCCACTTAAGTCTAGGGGAAAGTAGCAAGTGACATTACTCTTAATGACTGTGAGATGGTTATGTCTAACACTTACAAAATAATTTCCACTTGAAATGTCACAGACCTGACTCACTAAATGTCTCACTTCTGAGGATTTGGCACCTGAGAACTTGTTCTGTTATGAACAGAACCTGCACTTATCACAACTGAAAAGATGTAGAACGTTCAGTCGTTTACTTTTTCCATTTGTTAGCACACTGTCATTTCAGTTTAAGTCACATTCCTAAAAAAGAAGCATCAAAATGGAGGTAAAAGTAACTCCTTTGCCTACCGCCCCCCCCCCAAGTCCACCCTACAGTTCATGGAGTTGCTTTTCAAAAGGCTAATAAAAATACAAAAAATTCTAGCTTTGAAATAAGTGGATTGTATTCATTAAAGAAATGTTACAGTGACAAGAGAGAGAGTTACAGTTGCAATTGGTGATCCCCAGAATCTGCTGTTGCCATTGGTTTAAAGTTTAAATACTGCTATTTGAATTATACTTGCACTTTTGTTTGTTTTGTGTATTCTGTAGTGGAAGTATCTGGGTTACCCTTTAGGAACTACATATATGTAGTAAGAGGAAAAGTCTCTTTTTTTCTGTTACTGTTACCTTAATGTTACCTCCTATCTTCAGGAGCAGACATACTATATGTTGCTTTTTTCCCATGTAAAACCTGTGACGTTGAAACAAACCCCTATTACTTAGCTTTGTCTTGTTGTACATGTTTTATTTAAAATTCAAAACCTGAGGATTTCTTTTAGAACTTCTTCTGAGATCATTTTAATTTTCTTCATCTAGAAACAGAGCTCAGATTATCTGCTGCTCTCATTGGAAATATTTTAAAATAGTTAATGGAGCACTTTTCTTGTCCTTGTCTGTTCTACAAAAGATTGTTTCTGTTTTCAGTGCTAGTTATGGTGTTAGCTCTCTGCTCTGGTATAGATGTTAGTAGAAGCATGGGTGCTTTCCATTTCTGGAAAACTGAACTGAAAGATCACTGTAAGCCCATTCTGAAAGCATATAGCATTTCATTCTCATTGACAGCAATTACCAAAAAAAAAAAAAAAAAAAAATCAGTCATCTTTAAGGTTGTTCGCTGTGTTTCCTGACTTTAATTGTCTGGGTGCATTTTCTGTTCTTCATTCTTGTTCCTCTCTCTACCCCCAGATTACATAAATTTGTCCCAGAAATGTTGTTTACTGGGTGAGTTTATCACAAAATGTTTTTTATATAGCTCTGTGGATAAAAGGTCAATGTGAACTCAAGTGTAACTGCTTTACTCTTACTTATCTTTGGGTGTAACTTTCCACAGAAATATCACCCTCTGCAAGAGTGGTCTGTGGTGTAAAATCTATCACGAGCAAAAGAGCATAGCCCCTGTAGTCCCAGAACCTGATAAAAGGGCATTTTATTGTCTCTGTCTTAATTGTTCTTACCGCCTCCTGCTGTTCTTGTAAAAGAGAAGTGAGCTAATTTTTTTTTTTGTTTTTTGTTGCCTGTTGAAAGTACAACGGTGTAACTACTGATGGTATATGTTCTCTTCCTTAATTTACCAAACTGGTAAACAACATGAAGCACTTGCTCTGGGAACCAGCCAGCATTTTTAATGTATCGCCAACCTCTGTGAACTCCTGGAACGTGTCAATGGGGCAGGCTTACAGCATAAGTAGGAAGAACCTAACTACTGAGGATTCAAATGCTTTTGTCCCAGTCAACTAAACTAATTTCCTTTTACAGTAATGAGGTTTTACAGTAGCAAAAGTTTTGTTAGTTTTTCTGTGCTTTATACTGATGCATAGATATTTATAGTATGCATCTTTGTGACCTACTCACGATAAACCACTAAAAATAACGTGTTCTGAAGTACATCTGCAAGAGTTTATACAGTGGTCTGTAAGGATTTCTTGTTCTTTGATGCTAACACAAGCCAACAAACATCTGAGAATCTGAATGAATTTGTGAAGAGTATAGGTCTGTGTGGGTACAGATGTACACTGATGTAAGAACTGGGTATCTTAGGCTTCCTGTAACTGTGGCTCTGGAACTCAGCCCTGTTGATAAATAGGCAGAAACAGCTAGCGCGTATGCAAAGTGCAGATAAATGCCCCGTGTTGCTCATTCACCAAGGCTGCTTGTATAATTAAACAGTGGCTAATGGTCATTGAGGAGCTGGAACTGCTAGGCGCTTGTTCCATCTACTGCAAGGAAAGAAACAATTTAAGAAATTGCTTTGGGCAATACCTGCCAAAAGTCTCTTGGGATTTAGTGAAATTTCCTTATAGTTCATGACTACAATATCTAAACCATTCCAATTCTGAAAACTAGACTCATAGCAGGAGTGCTGTAGTGATTAATGGTAATCATAGTTGCACTGTAAGGGAAGGACCTTCCAGAATTGCTGCTAAAGTACAAGGCAGAATATTTTTAAAAACTGTCCTTATTTTGTCTGAAGCAGGTTTTGTTGTATTTTGACAGCACTTGAGGCTAAAGCCATTTAAGAAATAGGATATATATATCATGCAGAGTATGCTCATACGGCCTTTGTACCAAGCACTAAGAAATTAAGTCCTTTGTTGCAGGTAATATCTTGGACTTAAAGTTCCGGTTGAAGTTGGACATTAAGCAAGCTTCCTATTCAGAGTCTAGCAATTCAGCACAGTCCTGACATGTAAATTTATAGTACCTAGCTTTTTCTACAACAGAAGTGAATGCTTGTTGAAGATGATACAAGTCTTTGAGATTTTTCCGTGGAGACCAGTGTCTGCTAATCTTGAAGTCTGTACTTTTAACAAGAATTAGGAATATTTCAAAAGCTGCAGGATCCTCATGTCTCCCTGATACTTACACTTTCTCATTTTCATGTACCCAGCTTTTTCTGCAACAGAAATGAATGCTTGTTGAAGATGATATGTCTTTGAGATTTTCCATGGAGAGCAGTATCTGCTCATCTCGAAGTCTGTACTTTTAACAAGAATTGGGAATATTTAAAAAGCTGAAGGATCCTCATGTTTCCCTAATACTTATATTTTCTCATTTTCATGAGTAAAATTGTATTACATTGGGAAAACAGCTTCTCTGGCACAGAGAGACAAACCATCTGAACACCACTTGGATTCCAGTTTTGTGCTGTTGGCCTTTGTGGCAGTGTTCTGACTTAAACATTACCAGGTGTTTATATATGTGTTAATTTCAAGCTTAAGAATTAACCTACAGGTTTTACCTTTCCTGTGCAGCATGTACTTCACAGCAATTTTTCTCTTTTATGTAAACACTAATCTGTTTGAAGTTAAAAGACTTAAGTGTGGTATTTTTCACTATTTCTTAGCACCAAAAGCAACACACTTCCCTAGAAGGCTGGGCCTAACACTTCTGTACAATTTAGGTATCTGGTTCTCAGTTCATGTGGGTGAAGCAAGAAGTTGTGAATCCCTGCTGTGAAAGATTTTGGGCTGTTGTTTGCAGTAAGAGTTACGCTACCTAAGAAAGAATTGTGCACCCTAAATACCTTAATCTGCTCATTTGTCAGTTCCTATTCTGGAAGGTGGGGAATAATAGAACTGCTCTGGGTATTGAGGGTGGTGCGAATATATATAGCCTGTCGTATCCGAAATGCTGAAGGAGTCTGGTGAAAGGGAAGGCGACTTCTGAGTAACTAAGAGTATTGAATAGAGAGAGATTTCAGTTGATTACTCTGTGTGTGGTTGAGTGGGGGGTGTTTCTAAAGAAGGTGTGGCTACTCTAACAATAGTAAAAGAAGCCATTTTTTCCCAGGCTTACTCCACGTGCATCTTGTGATAATGCTTTCATGTGACTCTTCTGTTCTAGAGGAGGCAAGCTGGGTGCATGGATATTAAATCTCAGGAAACAGAAGGTTACAGTTAAGCAGCTGAACAGAGTACATTTGTTGTAGTATCTGGTGATCCAAGGGCTGAGGTGTAGAAAGTCAACTTACTCTTTGTGAGCTGGGGTCCTGTTCTTTCTGCTTTGTTAAATCTATACATTAGAAAGGGTGTAATAGGTCATGAAGTTCACAGTGGCTTCTAGGTCTAGAATTAATGACAGCGAATTATTGATAGCCAACTGTAAAGCATTATTAACAGAGCCTTGAGGTTTCCTACAGTTCCCAAGGTGGGGCTTCCAGGATACACAGAAATGTCCTACCTACTGTGAAGGTGTCTTTGTTTTTAAGAGCTGTTCTATAACTGCTGCCACTTTGCCATGCTGATGTGCCACTTCACTAGCTAACTGTGATTTTCTGTTCTAGGTTGGATCCGGTATGCTGAAAGGGTACTTACCAATCTTGTGACCTCTCACATTTGCACTGCAAAGTCTCCACAGCAGATCATGGGCTCCCTGGTGAAGGGCTACTTTGCCAGGCAGCAGGTAAGTAATTCTGATTTATTTTTACCATTATACTCTTCTAAAAAGATGGGCTAGGGGGTTTTAATACTGGAATGTATATCTTAGTATACTATAAAGCGATAAAGGATCTTCCTGAATTGTTTGTCCTTTACTTGAAGAATAAATGGTGCTCTGCTGCTATACAAGTGCCCGTGATAAGACGAATGTACAAAGAACCTCATTTCATGAGGTGCAATGTGAGCTGGCAGCAATCCTTGCACTCCCAGAGCAACACGGGTTTAGATATTTATGGATAAAATTAAATCCAAGGTAGCTAAACAGATTCTTGTTAAATGCTGCTTGTGTAGTTCTATAGCACAGCCAGAATAGGAGCAGAGGAAAACAATGTAGAAATTGCCCTGTTATCTCGGATCAATAAAAGCATTGTATCCTAGAAACTAACCTTTTATCTTCTCAGCTTTGTATGTTGAAAAAGTATCATACTTAAATTTAACTGCATCCACATTATATAGGAAAGTGTTGCTATCTCCACAGAGAAATATTGATGGATTTGCTATGGATGAAAGTGAATGAATGACAGCTAGAAAACAGAATTCTGAAGTCCTGATTTGCATTCATTTTTTAAGGCAATCAAAAGCTGCAGAAAATGTGGTCTGAAGGAATAAGTAAAAATTTCAGCCAGAAATTTTGGATGTTTGTTGCTAATGCTTTGTGACTTCTGGCAAATCACTTAACCTGTGTGCGGCAGTCTTTAAATTTAATTGCTAGGGATTGATTACTAGTGTTACCTGCATAGAGTTTATGATACTATTTTTGTCCTTGTCATCCTTCAAGCTGTGTGCTTTCTTCTGTGTTCCACAGAACTTGTCTCCTGATAAAATTTTCCATGTAATTGTGGCGCCTTGTTATGACAAAAAACTGGAAGCCTTGCGGGAAGACTTCTACACTGCCTTGTATAATTCGCAAGAAGTTGATTGTGTTCTGACATCAGGTTAAATCTTCTTTAAACTTACTATTTAAAATGATATAAGCGAATCACTGTTGTTAGAATAGCATTTATGCCAGACTTCGCTTTCTTCAAGTCTGCTTCAGTTGTAAGGCTGGCTTTTTTCCTGCTTTAAAAATAAGTACATGTTTTTGTCCTATTGGTAGTATAGATAGGTATTTTATAGGGAAGGCAAAGCCAAAAATACTTTCCTTCTAAGTTGGTATTCATCTGAAAACAAGATTCAGATGTTTGTTTTTGTCAGCCTCTTGAGAAAGTTAGGAGTTATGCAAATCCATATTTAAAATCACTGTCTTGCTTATCTATGGTCATTATTTAATTCCACTGGGATTATTCATAACATTCCAAATGCATGGCACCAGTGGCTTTTTGGTGTGGCTCTTGTCTTTAGGCTTAATGTCCAAACTACGCATCCTCTTTTTTCCCCTGCAGTGTAGAAATGTCTTCCAAACTTTACCTAACAGAAAGGCTAAGGATAACATTATGCAAAGTTTGGAGCAAGCTGAAGGCCCTTTTCTTCAGGGCTGGAAGTGTCAGGCTTCTCAGTTACCAGAGGGACCTGACTTTAGTAAGAATTGGAGAATGTGAGTGTAAGCACATATAGGTGTTGGGAGATTGATCTCTTAAACAGAGGCACAGCATGTGCCTTTTGCTTTGTGTTGAAAGTATTGTCCTATGTTTTCCCACAGGTGAAATTGTCCAAATAATGGAACAGAAAAATGTGTCTATGAAAGATGTGACTGAAGTAGCTGTAGATAGTTTGTAAGTAGTTTTTTGTGGATTGCTTCCTTATTTTGATGACAAATGACAACACCTTTGAGCATATTCAGCATAAATGTAAGACTTCTCAAAAGAGTGTTTTTTTTCTTTTTAAAGAAAAAAAAGCCCGCATCAAAGCCTGAGTGTACTAAAGCCTCATCCTTTATATAGTGGCCAAAAAACCCCAAAGTATTCTCTTAGATGTTCATTGCTATATATAAAAGTAATACGAAACAGATAATATAAAACTGTATATACTGTCTAAATACAAAGCAGATAATTTGAGGTAATGACCCTATCTAGTGACTCCTTTAAAATTTATGATTTTTGAAGATTTGTGTAGCTCCTTATTTCTATTTTAATGCAATAATACTAGATTTGCTAGTAAGTGTGACTGTCTCAGGGCGTTGACTCCATTCAGAGCTCTCCTACGCTTGAGCTTGTGTAAAGCTGAACAGTTTCATCTGCCCCCCTCCAACTGTCTGGCCTCACACAAAGATGCTGGGATGCAGTCATGGGGTTGACCATCTGTTCTGTGCTTCCCTCATTCAGAGCAGCATCTTGACAATAAATTTCCACTTCCCCTCATATGTTCATGTAGAATTGATAGAAGTAGCACCCTTTCAGGAAACGGTAATTAATTTTTTTTTATACTGAAGACAGCAGTTAGTTTTTCAAGATTAGATAAAATTAAGACATGGTTTAGATGAAAATCACACAAAGCATTGAAGAGATTTTGCTTACTTACTGTATGACTGGCTCAGAAAGCAGCATGCATGTTGTTTTAATTCTCGGGCTTAGTTACAAAGGCTGGTCTCGCTGCTCACTGATCTTTGTTCAAGTGTGACAGATGTTACTTGGTATCTTTCCAAAGTGGTGGTAGTGGAGCAATAAACATGCTTTCCTGCACAAAATAGAAAGCTGTGGAAATTTTTAAAAATCCTCTTTGCTTCCAGTTAGTATACTGCTTGGACCTTGTCTAGAGTGGAGAAATTTAAGTGGTACGGTGGAAACATTTTCAGAGCTGTGTTTGTAGTGTAGCTCCTATGATCGTTTCTACCAGAGATTGCTACGCAGAATGAGGATTACATAAATAAAGTTCTTACAGAATAATCACATAGAGATGGCAATTTATCTCTAAATCAGCCTGTCCAATGAAAGAACAAGCTCTTATTCAGAATATACCTGTTTTATTGGATCAATTTATGTTGGAAAATAATGTTAATTTTTAAAAGGACTAATCTGGTAATACTGGTTCAAGCTGTGAGACCTGATGACATAAATTTTTGCTCTTCTGGGGTCTTGAAAGTAGATTTTGCGGAGAAATTTATATAACTTGAACTCCTTCTCTTAAAACAAGACCCAGCACAGCAGCAATTTGTGGTAAAGTGCTTGGTATTAAAAAAGTAGTATGAACAAAGTAACTCACGTTTGAATTCTCAACTCATTTTTGTAACTAGAGAATGCTGACAAATAGGAATTGGCTAAAAATAGATGACATATCATGAAACAAAATCACCCAAGGTTATTTCAAACAAACAAACAAAAAAACACAAAAAACCCAAAAAAACCCAAACAAAAGAAGGGTTTTTTTGTTGGCAGTAGATGCAGTGGCATGGCATAGAGAGGACAGACATACTAAACTCGTAAACTTCAGCTCTTTACCGATTAAAATATTTCTCTGTTGTTACTAAAACTTCAGCATTCTTTGTTAGTAAGGTGTTTGCTGTGGTAATTTTCACTTTGGTTTCATGGTTGAATGCTGTGCTCAGACTGCTGCTCAGGCAAGAGCTAGCAGTCTAGGCCAGGAAAGGTCATGTCTGGATGTTCTGGGAAGAAGGTAATTAGACTATATCTAGAGAGGCTTTTACATGTAAGAGCAAAGGACATAATCTGTCCATTTGCTAATCTGAAGACAAATATCTCTTCCTGCAACTAGCATTACCACACACCCCTAGCAATTTCTGCATTGCCGGAAAGGAACGTGGGCCTGTAGAGCTGCAGTCTTTGGCGATCACCAGCACACATTCCAGTACAGTTTATACTACAGCCACTGGTGCCCATCAATGCTGTCTTTAACTGAGGGAGAGGTGAACCTCCAACCTGTGCCCATTGGATATGAGCTCACTGATTTTCTTTCCTCAACTATAGTGTAGCACTTGCCATAAAGGTACAGTGTTCTAGCCTGGTTGCAGCTGTCCTCATTTGGTATTATTTTAGTGGCACAGAGTTATAGACTGTGACAAACAGCTTCTGGAGCAGGAGAATTGTGAGCAAAGGCTTGTAACTTCTGAAGTACTTTTATATTCTCACAGGCAAAAAATTATTTATTTATTCTTTCCCAAAAATGTCTCCTGAGCAGTGAATGGCTGTTAATCAAGTCTTTAGGCTGTGCTGAATGTGTATTCTTATAAATTATCGTTGCTCGAGGTTTCTGAACATGGAAAGCCATGCATACTTTTTCTTTTTCCCCATCTGACTGCTGTTCTGAATAGTTGAATTTTTTTTAAGCTATAATAAATAAAAACGTTAATATACTCTCACTGCTATAAAACTTGGTGGGAGAAGACAGAGAAGGGGAAAAACATACTACTTCATTGAAGTGAAGGAATGAAATTTCGGAGTTGATCTTTCTTTCTGTTGTTTTCTCAGGTTTGATGAAATAAAGGAGGGAGATGTAGTAAGGCATGATGGGAAGAGATCCGATGGTTACCTGGAGCACATTTTTAAACATGCTGCAAAGGAGCTTTTTGGCTTGGATGTCAAGGAAATCACATACAAAGCATTAAAGTAAGTTCGAGTTTTGCATCCTTGTAGGATGGGCTAGTTAGAATGTTTTCAGTTGGCAGGGACCTACAACGATCATCTAGTCCAACTGCCTGACCACTTCAGGGCTAACCAGTAGTTAAAGCACATTAAGGGCATTGTCCAAATGCCTCTTGAACACTGACAGGCTTGGGGCATCGACCACCTCTCTAGGAAGCCTGTTCCAGTGTTTGGTAAAGAAATGATTCCTAATGTCCAGTCTAAGCCTCCCCTGGTTTAGTTGGTGCTACAGTGAGCCCTAGTGCAGTTACTGCTAACCTGGTTCTTTCGCTGATAGGCTGTTGCATATTACTAACCTGTAAATTTGTTGCTTTAAAGTAGCTCCTGCTAGCTTTAATTTTATTGATAACTTATGTGCCCTTAAAAATTAGGTATAATTCTGTTCTGAAAATTCAGCCCAACTTCTGCTTAATTCCGTTTAGAAACTGGAAGAGTTCACCTTAATCTCACTGTTAGACTTGTTCTGTTCTCTTTAGAGCATCTGAATACAAAGTGGCACAGCTTGGTAACGCAGGGGTTTAAAATTGTTCTCTGTGTATCTTTACAGGAACAAGGACTTTCAAGAAGTTACCCTTGAAAAGGATGGTGAGACAGTGCTGCGTTTTGCAGCAGCTTATGGCTTTAGAAATATCCAAAACATGGTTCTGAAGTTGAAAAAAGGAAAGTTTTTATACCATTTTGTAGAAGTCCTTGCCTGCCCAGGAGGTAAGAATAATTGTGGATCCACAGCTGTTCCACACACATATCCTGAATCTCCAAGGAAAGTCTTACGGGCAGGCACTTAATTTCATTCCTTCTTAATTCTCCTCTTAATAATCTAAAATGCTTACTATTTAATGAACAGTCCAGAACACTAATTCCACGTGCAAGGTTGGTTCAGAAATTGATTGGGTTTTCTAAAATTAAGCATAATTTTATTTGCTCTCTTCTGACCTATAAATAAGTGACAGTATGGCTCTCAGGATTATTTCAAACCTCAGAGGAAATACTCTGAAATGGTGATTGTCAAGGGCAAGAAAAGACAAGGAACATAATTAAGATGATAAAACCATGGAGAAGGCAGAGAAAGATTGTTGATACGGAAACCTCATTTACACTAAAATGATGATGATATTGGAGTCACTTTAAGGAAGTACAGATTCTAACAGCATGAGGGGGTAGTTTATGTAAAGAGACAAGTTTTTTTCTTTAGACAAGTATGAAAAAAGAATTCCAAGCTAACATAAACTATCTCTTGATACCAAATCTCCATCACCCTTGTGGCTTTTTTTGTTTTTCCCTAAGGGTGCCTAAATGGAAAAGGTCAGGCTCAAACTGAAGATGGAAAACCAGACAAAGCACTGCTTAACCAGATGGAAGAAGTGTATGCTGCAATACCTGTTAGACTTCCAGAAACCAACATGCACGTACAGAAGATGTACCAGGACTGGCTGGAAGGCATGGACTCTAAAAAAGTCCAGGAAACTTTGCACACCAAATACAGTGCAGTAAATCAAACAGCAAGCAATTTAGATATCAAATGGTAATAAATCAAACTTGCAAAAGATTTGTTTAGGTTAGTTACAGATTCAGCACTGGAAACATTCTATGCAATCGCAGATGCTATGCACTAGCCGAGTGTATGAATGAGATGCTTCCTAATTGTGGATTATTGTTTGAGAAGAACCATTGCTTTTTAAAAACAGAAAGAGAAGTCTCCGAAAGCCCTGGTTCCTGCCATTGTCATTTAACTTTTACTGTTGTGTAATGTCCTGCGTATAATGGATTTCTTTATTCAAAAACGTGATCTTGCAAGGTACATAAACACTTTCTGCCAGGAGCAGGGAGTGTAATTCCTGATGAAGTTACTCCCTGAAAGGAAGGGTTCCCTTCACTTCACAAAATGGGCTCCCCCAAGAAGGCAAGATTATTTTACTCCTCCTCCTAGGTGTGCAATCCCTTTCATCATGGGAAAACAGTCATCATGAATTCCAATATTGTTGCAGTTGCTGTGGAGTAACTTGGGATTTACTTGCCTTGTTAACAAAAAACACCTTTACAGCGACAAGTGTGTATATGGAGAAGTAATGAATTTATGCCTTCTGTCCATATTTTAACAAAAACTATTCAGTTCCAAACTAGTCACCATTCCTTACTGATGTAATATTTGTAAGGAACAGGATGCTTCATATAAACTGAACCTGGGAAACTAATGCTAAATGGATATAATGCAGTCCTTCATTAAAAATAGTTCCAAATAGGTTGGTTGTTACAAAAAGAGAACTTTTCTTTCCTTGTAAGTTTTCTTAGAAACTTGGAGCTAGGGAGAGTGGTGCTGCTTACTTTGTCTGGCTTTATGAGAGTGAAACATGCATATGTGCTGTCATGTGAGCACATGCATGCCACAACTTTGCTAATTTGCTGAGCCAGACTTTCAGCACTTTTATTCTCTCAGAATACGTACGCAGAATACCAGATCGTGCTTTCATTTATCTCCATGTTGACAGACTTCCGTAAAAAGAACTTCATGGGGTGCCTCTGAAAAAAATACTTAGCAATGCTTGTGAGCTCATCAAAGTTACTATACATTGGCATCGTGAATTTTATCATGAATTTTATTTTTTGAAGTATGCTGTAGAGGTTTCATTTAACAGACATCTTGAAGTGGTGTTTGCACGCAAGCTTTTCTGCAACTTCATGAGTTGTCAGAGGGTTATTCAAGAATGTGATGGACAAAAAAAACCCCCAACAAACTACTGCCAAATTTCTTCAGATTTTCTTAGTAGCATCAAATTTGTTCACTATTAATGGCTGTTTGAAGCTAGCAAAGTTTGAGCTTTCCTTTTCCAGTCTGAAAGTGTGGATGGGCTTTTTTAATAATTTCAGACAGTTGGAATGAGTCTTGTAAATTTCTTAATATTACAATCGCTTGTATCAGTAAGATCTAATACTGCAAAAACCTGTGTGTATTTGAAATCCACATTTAACTTGAACACACCTTATGGGATAAAAGGCATCAGTGAAGTCAATGCAAGTTCTTGCATTGGCTCACCATCAGAAGCTCAATTAACTCTGTTACCCTGATGACAGGAGATAGTTCTCTTAATGTGAAGCTCTTAATAGAATTGCAGCTTTCAATTGGACCTCCACCTAAATAACAAAACATTTCACTTTGAGGGATGTTTTCTTTCAAGTGCAAATGAATTTGATTACTGTGCTACCTGAATGCACATGATGAGATTATACCCATAAATTAGCCTTTGTAAGTTGTTCCTTGTTGTAATAAAAATGTTATACTTACATGGTGCAATATCAGAACACCTACAGAAATCTACCTCTGTACAGGAAGGGAGTCCAGAAATCGTGGGGAGATCTATGTATAGCTCACACTTTATTAAATGTCTGCTAAAGAAAGATGGTGGTGTTGCATGAAATTTCTGAACAGATTACTTTTAGAAGCAACATCTAACTCCTTTGGTCTGATTTTCTTTATCGGTCATGATTTCCTCCAAAAACTTCAACAGAATTATCTTGTAATAAAGTGGTCTTGTTTTGTTTGTATAGGCACATGTTTCTATGTATATATGGTTTATAGCTTGATGGCATGTCTAAATTATATTGCTTCAGTTCTTTGTATAGTATGCTTATGGTTTTTTATGTGCATATATTGGATGAAATGGTACGAAAAACTTGTTTGCTTTTCTGATGAAACCGTCACTAATCTACACAAGAGCTGCCTTGCTGTTCTGAAAGGATACCCTTGAACTGTTTGTACAACTTGAAAAATACTCATCTTGCGTAGGTGGCACTGCTGTACGTGTTCTCTTGCCGTTATGCTTGCCTGTTGCGCTGAAGAGCCTCACTTCCCATGCTGGTGGGAGACCCTAGGAATGGGCCAGTAGGTGAAATAAATCTGTCTACAATGTGCTGTGCTCCCACTACAATGGAAATTGGTGGCTCAGTGCATAAAATAAACTTTTTCAGTTGGATCCACCATTTCTTCCATCTACCCAAGTGTTTTAACCTATTGAGATATAGTAGCAATGTAAAAATCTAGTAGAGTGTTTGTCTGCCACAGTATTCTTTTTAAAGGCGAGGAAGGCATCTATCTGGGCGGCCTTTAGTGGCTAGGTGGAATGTATGTATTATAGCTAGTGACTTACAGTGACTGATAGTTGTCTTTTTTTGGTCAGCTTTTGTTTTATAAGACTTTCTGGAGTAAAACTTAAGTTTTTAAAGCCCTTTTCTTTAAAGTGCCAGTTTAAAAGAAGAAAAAGTTTTTTCCCTTAGCTGTTAATAAGTCTTTCCCCCTCCGCCTTCTTTCACTGAAATTTTAACGTACATCAGAAAACATTGTTGTAACTTCTTGTATAGTGAAATACTTGCCTAAGATTTGGTTCCGGCTTTTAAATCTGCGGTTGGGAAGTCTGTCATTGTTGACAATACGTGTTTCTAGCCACACTTTCTGAAACTACAGCATTATTTAGTTCCCTGATACGATTTTGGCAACTAATAATTTTCATTGCTACTGCCTTTTTAGTTAGCAATGGGAAAAGTTCCTAGTGTGGTCACAGCCATCGTGCTTTACTTCTCAGTTGAATGTTGTGCTGAGACAATCTTGTCTCTAGATGACTTTTAGAAAATACTAAATTGGAGGGGTTGTGGGAAAGAAACTGGAAATGCTAAATTAATTTGGAAATTGTCTTGGGGTATTACTGACTTGAGCATTTCAAGTGCTGATGCCTTGGGTTATAGTATTTTATTCTGAGACTGCTACAAGGGATACGCATTGTGAAGTATTTTTGCTATGCCTTCTCCAGTAGGTTTGCCCCAGCCACAGCACCTTGTGTTTGTCCACTGTAGTTAATGAACATGGACAGAGCTGGGTTATGCTATCACTTAGAATAATGGATATATCTGTATGCAGCAGTCTCAGCTGGATTATATTTGGATAATGTTCAGTTACCTACATTTTCGTGCTTTGTATTCAAATGGAGCATGACCATGAATTGTCCTAAATAAATCTTGATACTGAATTACGTACTGAATCTGTGTCATTCCATATAAAAGCCTAACTCTTTAAGTACACTTGAACATATGTGCTTGTTTGGTGAATTTAGCATGAATACTTAGTAAGCCTGTAACAGTAATACTGTATCAGCTATTCACGGGTATTCTGGATCACAGGTACACTTCAAACTGTGATAAATAGAAGGAAAAAGTTGTTGGATAGCAGTAGGAAATGCTCATTTGCTCTCTAGAATTGTAAAATAATATATTGAATCGTCGCAAGGCGGACAAGCATCTAGCGGCTTTGAAGCTCTCTTAGCTGGGAACGACGGTGCTGGATGAAGCCAGTCTGGGGGGGTTGTAGTTACGCTGAAGTTCGCTATATACAGTTATTTAAAAGACTGGTGCACAAGGAACAGTAAAGATGCTTGTTTGTGTGTAGCCTGATACTTACACACACAGTCAGGGAAAGAATGAAAATGAGCCCCGACATAGAAGAGGGAGATTTTTTTTCATCAGCAGGTTGTGCAAAAATTTCCTTAATGAATTTAGCAAACATTTCCGTAACTTGCCACGAACAGCCAGGGCCCTAACTTCCACAAAATAACAACTACATCTGAAGGTGGGCTGCATTCTTTTCTAGGGTCAGTGAGGAGTGGTTACCTGGCCAGAGGAAGAAGAGGAGGAGCTGATCTTCAGTTTGGCACAGAACAGAGATGTTCCTGTTGCTGTGTAAACAAATGACAAGTGAGGACGGGTTTTGAGAAGGGGAGCCAAGATATTAAGATATCCTTAGCTACTCTTGAAATGAAAAACAAATAATGAGGATCTGTGTTGGCAAAGCAAAGGTAATAACAGCCTTTTAAACTGCAGAGTTCAATCTGCTAGATTACACCCACTCTGAAATTGTTGCATTCCTGTCCCTATCTTTCAAGTGAATAGTTGGGTGCACCTGAAAAATAATACCCAAATTCTGCACATTTATCTACCAAAAATCAGGTTTTCCTCAGTGTGAATGACTTCTCTCAAAAAAAGACTTAAACTACATATAAAACAATGGTAAAATATAATGAAAGACCAAATTAAATTGTAGTAAGAACTATTTAAAAATTCAAGTCCTATTTGATCTGTTAAATGTACAGCTGTTTGTTGTGGTTTAGCCCCAGCCAGGAGCTAAGCACCACGCAGCCGCTCGCTCACTGCCCCTGCCCCGGTGGGATGGGGGAGAGAATCGGAGGAGTAAGAGTGAGAAACACTCCTGGGTTGAGATAACAACAGTTTAATAATTGAAATAAAGTAAAAGAGTAATGCTAATAATAACAATACAATAATGATAATAACAATAATAATATACAAAGCAAGTGATGCACAATGCAATTGCTCACCACCCGCCGACCGATACCCAGACAGTTCCTGAGCAGCGATCGCTGCTCCCTGGCCAACCCCCCCAGTTTCTATACTGAGCATGACGTCACATGGTATGGAATAGCCCTTTGGTCAGTTTGGATCAACTATCCTGGCTGTGCCCCCTCCCAGTTTCTTGTGCACCTGGCAGAGCATGGGAAGCTGCAAAGTCCTTGACTAGCATGAGCAGTACTCAGCAACAGCTAAAACATCAGCGTGTTATCAGCATTCTTCTCCTACTAAATCCAAAACACAGCACTGTGCCTGCTACTAGGAAGAAAATTAACTCTATCCCAGCCGAAACCAGGACAGTGTTCATTCAATTTAAGAAAACTAGGAGCAGCGTGGCACCGTTCGGTCAGGGAGGCCCCTCCGGCATTCAGCTCCGTGGGTTTACGCCCTCTGCTCCGCACCCCTCCGCGTGGGGCCGTGGCGG